ACCACGCACATATGTGTGGTGTGTGATGTGTACATTATAGGTTATTTTGATTCGCGACTGTAACGAGTCGCAAATACAAAGCAAATATATAAACGCAGTTTCATGCTTAAAAGTGTGAACACAAAATGTGAATGTAAGGCTGACTAATACTCGGGAAATCGCGATGATTTCCGACGATGTCCGGTTTCGATACGAGTGTAACCAGAACGCGTTCCGCAGATGCGTTCCGGTAAAAGTGGAACGCAATTGGAACGCGAATGGAACGCGAATGGAACGCAAATGGAACGCAAATGGGACGCAAATGGAACACATTTAGGAACGCGTTCCGGACGCGTTTTCTGTTAGGTTATTTCTGAGCAGTACTGTATATATACAAGTAAGACTATTTCAGTTAGGCCAAAAAAAATATGTGGGCTTCCGGTTTCCCGACCCTAAACTTTTTTATTGGATCATGCTTGTAAGTGTTTCCACTTAGAGGAAAACGTTTGCGAAAAATGGAAATTTGAGGCAATATTAGGGAAATTTAATTTAATTTAATTTATTAACTTTGCCAGATTCAAACAATTAACGTTAACACAAAAACTGGCAGGGCAATCGCAACAGCTTGCGCCAATTACTGCGATCCCTAAATGTTAGACAAATACACTATATACGTACATAGAAAAATCAATTATTAACGAACTATATCAGATTCAACTTTACACATTGCGACCCGCATGACCACTTCTAGTTTCGGAAGCTGACTGAATCGGAAGACGTTTAACCCTCACAATCCTAAACCTTCAGCAAAACCCTGGATAGGCCCATAGATACCAATGCGAAAAGCTACTTCTGAAAACTACTAAAATCTAAAAACAACACGTTATCGGCCTTGTAAGGTCGCGAGCTTGATTGCATTTTAAGCAAACCGTTTTCCATGTTCGTGGATCGTCAACGTCATAACATTTATCTAATGCTGTTTTATAATAGATATACAACTTATTTTTAAACTCCTTTAAGGTTGCCATGCCATTAATAGTAACTAAATCCCTTGGCAGTGTGTTCCAGACTCTAGTAGTCCTAGTAATAATATATTGAACGCCATAGTTGGAAAATAAACATTAATAGACCTAAACAGATGCAGCTGGTTTCATTGCAACAACAAATACTTCGAAGACGCCATGCATGTTTCCCCAATGAGGCGGGATATTAGGTGGGATAAAAGTCATATGATCACAGAAATAATCTCACATCGAATCAGGAAATTTTATATAGGAGATCCGGAATCTTTTGCTCCGGTGCAAATGAGGTCTAAATATATTTGTCAGAATGAACATGCACGATTTACGAATATGTTAATAAGTGAATAAGTGAACAAAGTGATCTTTCTGAATATCACACAAGTATAGAAATTATATCTTAGCAACAAAGCATGTATGGAGACAAAAAAACTCCCATTACTTCACAGTTTTAAGTGCTCTTTCGTTTAAGAGAACAAAAAAACCGCTTAAATGATATGATATGTAGCATTTAGGACTTAAAATGATATGTCGCATTTACAGATACCTCTTGTATTTTCGCAGCTTGAACATATATTGTTGTTATTCCCACAGTTAATGCTTATCATTATATTTGATCAGTGTTCAGGTTTGTATTTATATTAAAGTGCTTCTCAAGGGGTCTTTATATGAGCCCTATATTTTAATGCTCTCAAAACTAAATATCTGTTGGTATGCACTCGCCAAAGGCTAGCAATTAACTATATCAGCCTGAAATCTTCGTTAATGATAACAAAATTGAACGATGATGTTTGTGATGTTACTCTGAGTGTTATCCACACCGGGCGCGAGCTTGAAAAATATGCCCGGCCACGGTGGGAATCGAACCTACGACCTTTGGAATACCAGCCCAATGCTCTGCCATCTGAACTACGCGGTCAGGACGGTTCGAGTAATAGTAAGACGGTTCGGTTATAGTAAGTGATGAGCATTGGGCTAGTATTCCAAAGGTCGTAGGTTCGATTCCCACCGTGGCCGGGCATATTTTTCAAGCTCGCGCCCGGTGTGGATATACACTCAGAGTAACATCACAAACATCATATTCACCTGAGTACACAACACCAACACAGAAAAAATCAAAATTGAACGAGTTAATTAAAACGTACAAACGTTTGGGCGTTGAAATGGATGAGCTCCTATCTTGGGATGAGCACTAGCATATGCAGCCATGATTCTTAAAAAAGGTAACCAAGGTTATTGAAGCACTCACTCAGAAGATTAAAATCATACACCTCCCACAACCAGTTTTAATTCAGATTTATCAGTCGTTAATCCACTGAATTCAACCACATTTTGATTATTGTAGCGGTGTCTGGGACAGCTTAGGTAAAGATCTTGGATCCAAATTTCAAACATTACAAAACAGAGCTGGACGACTTATTATAATATTCGTTCTTCTGAGAACTTGCACACCTTAAACTAGGATCGACAATCTAGAGGAAAGACGTTCTCGGCAATTCAAAATTTTAATGTACAAAACGATCAATAAAATGGTATCCGACTATCTTTCAAACAAATTTATACTCATGCAGCTAATTAATACGATACATATAGCGATAACTTGAGTGACTCTGATTCCAAATTATTTGTCCCAAGACCTTTGACTGAGTCACTCAAGAAAAGCTTTACCTATAGGGGATCTGTTTTGTGGAATAGCCTACCTGCATGTTGAAGCAATTAATGCTACATCTGTAGCAACTATCAAAAACATTTTAGGGCAATCACCATAGTTAGTATTATATATAGCTAATTTTTGAAACATCAAATACTTTGTAAATATCTTTATTCTACACGGCTCCACGGAAGAGCACATTTTGTGAATGAATTCCATGTTTAAATAAAGTTTTAATAATAATTAACATCAAGGGTTGGTCCTATTTCGCGCGCTAATTCAAATTGAAGTTCTTATTACCTCCGCGTTTATATGTGCCTGTGTATAGCTAGCGTGTTATTAGCACAATGACTTAATTACAAATATCGTATTAACACGCAAATTTGTGGGACTAATTATTAGGACATTGCCCATTGATTAAATTTTGGCGAAATTACCCCATTATCAGTTACGCCATGCATGATTTGGAGGTGAACCGCAATTGATATCCAATAGAAAAGAGATGTCCAATGGCTTTGATCGAGACAGTTAATGCAAGTTATATAGCTTTTAACATTTTAGCTGTTTTGTCCCATAAAAAGAACGTTTAACTTGGGTAAAATTTAAAATACAAACATCAGTATTAAACACTAAAACGTTAAAAGCTAACTTACATGAACTGACGTTTGTGCGATGTTACTCTGAGTGTATATCCACACCGGGCAGGCTTGAAAAATATGCCTGGCCACGGCGGGATTCGAACCTACGACCTTTGGAATACTAGCCCAATGCTCTTCCAACTGAGCTACGCGGTCAGGACGGTTCGAGTATGCGATATTTCGGAACTGAGTCTAGTTCCTTCGATATAAGTGTAATCTAATAATCATGAAATCTGCTGTGCTGGTGTAATGTACTCAGGTGAATATGACGTTTGTGCGATGTTACTCTGAGTGTATATCCACACCGGGCAGGCTTGAAAAATTTTTTCAAGCCTGCCCGGTGTGGATATACACTCAGAGTAACATCGCACAAACGTCATATTCACCTGAGTACATTACACCAGCACAGCAGATTTCATGATTACATGAACTGTTTCGATGAAAAGCATTTTTCGCTTTAAGCAGTTTCATATAAATCCTGGCATGTATCTTCAAATTCAAAGCTGTATCAACAACAATTTTCTCGGTTGTTTATATTAAAATTTTATTCGAAGTGCGCCATTTTGAAGCTGAGGTTAGCAGATTGACCTTTGCCTCCGACGTTATTTTCGACCAATCAAAACGCTTAACGGAACGTTTTGAGAGGTGCATGGACATCACATTTTGAGAGGTGGACATCAATTTTCGAGCATTGGACATTAGATTTTGAGAGGTGAATAGTAAAATCGTGAAAAAAGGAGGTGGAAAACAATGCATGGCAGCGGCTAGGCGACCAATCAGAACAGGATACGCGACATACTTATGGACAATGTATAATTTATGCATGATACATAACTTGATTAAAAATGGTTTTCGTTCATATCAGAGAAGGGCCATGCAGCCCTCGTAGGCGAGATCTCGCTATTGACTCGGAAATCTCGCCTAGTAGTCCTAGTAGGCCTGTAACTAATTTTCCATATAAACACAACAGGGAGGACTAGCCCTCCTGGTAGGGCTGAGTAAATAAACCCGCTATATCCGTATCAATTCAGCTTTCCGACGTTTTTTATTCATATATTTAGCTCAAGAGCAACATTCAATTGTCTGTTGGTTATTGTTTGAGAATTTGCTTGGCAGAATGTGATTTTGGACTTCGTAGTAAAATAAACGATCTTAGGAAGCTAACCAGCCTTGGAAAGAGGGCTGATTTTTCTCATCTATAAACACGAGGTGAAAACCAGCCTTACTGGATCATGTAAACACCACAGATTTTGTTATTGAACGATTTACGTTGCGTACCTTAGTACTATTTATGAGCGATTCATAAAACGGTTGCCAAACCGTGATCGTGCGTGCGCGTGCACACGCACGCTCGGCGCTCCGTAAAATTGTTTAAAATTTTGCATTAAAACTAAACGTTAAAACTCGACTTCATTGGAAAGTAGTGGCTAAAGATACTGTCTTGGATATTATCAAGTTGCGTACGATTTTGGTTATTTAAATCAAGGAAAAAGCGTCAAATTAAATATCGTGGTTTTTGCATCTGAATTCAAGTTAATTGAAACAGTTGGAGTCGCAAGTTTTGTCTCACGCAAGCAAACGAACACGCGTCATTGCTCGCGCAATAACGGCCGGTAATTAGAAAAATCTCAATTAATTTGGAATTTAATAAGAACAAATATTCATTAATTTTCGCGTATAAATCGTTTTTTATCACGTTTAAATTACGGTGAAATGGTTGTTTTCAAACGTAAACTTGAGTGGCGGCGATTCATTGGAGTTATTATGTGGATGTTCATGTTATTCATAATCTTTTGGTTGGCTAAAAGATCAAAACCCGAACTTGTGCGCTTCGAAGATAGATCAACGTCTACGAACATTTCCATTGCTTCTGAACTTGCAAGAATACCTGATAGACTTTGTTTTCTTTGGATATCAACGCGAGACAACATTTTACGGAAATCTAACTATCCCTGTAAGCACCACTACGGCTTGGAACTTCAGGTAAAACACAAGAATTTGCATCTTCTTTTATGTATCCTGCTTGCTGGTGATGTAGCAACCAACCCAGGCCCAACATCTGACTCACAATCAAGGGACGGTTTCAAGATACTGTATTTAAATGCAAGAAGCCTGAAAGCATTTGTTCATCCACCGGGGAATACCTCCACGAAAGTTTGCAAAATTTCGTTATTTCAAGATTTAGTATACAGTGGAAATTATGACGTCGTATGTGTTTGCGAGACGTGGTTAAACAACTCAGTTTTAAGCAGCGAAATTATACCTAATTATGGAACTGTCTTCCGGCGTGATAGAACTGGCAGAATTGGTGGTGGTGTTCTCGTTGCTATTAAGTCAGGAATACAAGTCACACGTCGACACGATCTGGAAACTGACAACACGGAGCTTATTGTTACTGAACTTTTTAAACCGAACAGTAAACCTGTCAGGGCCTTTTTTAAGGATTTTCCCGTGGGGGGGCATTTTTTGAAAAGGGACCTTTCTGTGAGATAATATTTTCGAGGGGGATAGCAATGGCTGAAAGCCACATATGTGGCAAATATACCACGCATGAATGGGGGGGGTCTGGGGGTGTACTCCCCCAGAAAATTTTTGAAATTTGACTCCCGGAAATGTCATTTCCTGCATTCTGAGCATCCAAATTTGCTCCAAAATTTACCTAACTGGCTAACCATACTTGTATTTGAAATAAATAAAAGAAGAAACGCACAAAAAGTAAAAAAAATTAACCATCATTTATCATTACTTATTAGAGGAGGATAGCAATGGTCAGGTGTGTGGGGGTGTACTCCCCCAGAAAATTTTTGAAATTTGAACCACGGAAATGCCATTTCCTGCATTCTGAGCATCCAAATTTGCTCTAAAATCTATGCTAACTATAGTTGTATTTGAAATAAAAGATGGAAAAATGCACAAAATTAAAAGTAAAAAAGAATATTAACTGTAATTTATCATTACTTATTAGAGGGATAATCCCAAGAAAATTTTTGAAATTTGAAACCGTGAAATGCTATTTCCTGCATTCTGAGCATCCAAAAAATAAAAAAAAATATTAACAATAATTTATCATTACTTAGTGGTAAAAAAAGTAACAATTTAAATCGATTTTGTTAAACAAGAACAAAGGATAAAGCCTAAAACTTACTTTCGGTTTATCTAATCTTCGCTGGTTTGTTTCTATAATTTTAGGAAAAAGGGACTTTTCCTGGGGGGGCAAAATGTGATTTCGTGGGGGGGCACAAGGGGGGACTGGGGGGGCAAATGCCCCCCCAGCTTGTATGTTAAAAAAGGCCCTGAAACCTGTCATCCTTTACACTTTCTATCGCCCTCCTGACTCTACGCCTGATGTCCTTCAGTCACTGAACAACTCACTCCAAAGAAACCAAGAATCGAGTCGTATTGTGATGATCGGAGACTTTAACCTACCATCTGTTAAATGGTCGAGTTATGAAAATGTTCCTGTGAATACCGGAGGGTCCAATGAGAATGAAGCATTTTGCGAAATGGTGGACGACAACTTCCTTCAACAGTTCATATCTGGTCCCACCCACATCGCTGGTAATAAACTCGACCTCTTGCTATGTAATTCTCCAGAAATCATCGGTGACGTTTCTGCATTCCTTCCTGAATGTTTCCCAACAGATCATTACGTCGTGGAAATTGATGTTCAACTGAAGTTTAAAAGAGCCAAGCCAGTTAAACGCCGAGTTTTTGACTACAGGAACGGTAAATTTGATGAGTTGCGCAATTTCCTCACGAGAAATCCCATTAATATTACTCCCACCGATGATATTGATAACTACTGGGAACAATGGAAGGAAACGCGTTCTTAACTGCCGTGAAAAAGTATATTCCAGTAAGAACTGTTAAGGACACCAACTCCCCCCCTTGGATTGATAAAGAAGTCCGGATTCTTATCCGCAAGAAATACCGTGCATTAAAAAACTACCGAATGAATAGATCTGCAACTCGGAAGCGAAAACTGCGATCCCTTACTCAACAAACTAAGCGTCTCATTAGACGGAAACACCAAGAATATCTGGCTAAAATTGAAAGTTCCTTTTCTGTCAACCCAAAGCTGTTCTGGAGCTACCATAAAGCTATCCTACGCCACCGAGCAAATCTGCATCACGAAATAACGTTCAACGGAGTTACTTCTAAATCTGCAAAAGATAAAGCTACACTTTTCAACGCGTACTTCTCTTCCGTATTTCGTTCACCTTCCACAGGTTCAAAATCAGGTATCTGTGATCTGCTTCAACCATTAGAAATTGAGGAGCTTTCCAATATAACACTCAATGCGGAAGAAATCGCGCGAAGTTTGTACAATCTTGACACATCCAAAGCGTGTGGCCCCGACGGCATTCCAACTCGTCTTTTGCAAGAATGCAGCATCCAAATTGCACCCAGCATTTGTGAACTATTCAATCATTCGCTGCACACCGGTCAGATCCCTTCTGAATGGAAATATGCCAATGTTACGCCTATCCACAAGAAAGATCGTAAAGAACCAGCCGAAAATTATAGACCTATTTCTTTGCTCCCCATCCTTGGAAAAGTTCTAGAACGTGGCGTGTGTTTCAGACTTTACGATCATGTCAAACATCTCATCACCAAATTTCAACATGGTTTCCTCAGACAACGTTCATGTGTCACTCAGCTCCTATCTGTTCTTCATACTATCGGACAATCTCTCGACAAGAACACCCAAACAGACATCGTTTACCTAGATTTTGCAAAGGCATTTGACACTGTTGACCACAATATTCTTCTCCACAAACTTAAACAGTATGGCGTATCAGGACAGTTGTATGCATGGTTCGAAGACTATCTGAGCGGTCGTTGTCAACGAGTTGTGGTAGATGGAGTTGCATCTTCCTGGGCACTGTAACATCTGGTGTGCCACAAGGAAGTATCCTAGGACCTGTTCTGTTTGCGATCTTTATAAACGATCTTCCAAATGTACTACCAGACGAGACCTCGGCAGCATTGTATGCAGACGACACCAAAGTGTACAAATCAATTAAATCGGAAGATGACTGTCAAATTCTGCAACACGCCTTGACCAGCCTTGAATGTTGGAGTCATGATAACAACCTAGATTTCAACCAGTCGAAATGTAAGGTGCTGACCATCACACGAAAAAAGACTCCCCTCGTGCATGTCTACCACATGAATTCAAAGGAACTCTTGCGTGTGGATAAAGAGAAAGACCTTGGTGTTTGCGTCAGTGCCAACTTCAATTGGGATGTTCACATCCACACAATCACTAGTAAGGCCAACAAGATGCTCGGGCTGCTTAAACGAACTTGCCCTCTTTTGAGAGACAAAACAGTACGACGAACTCTGTATCTCTCGCTTGTTAGATCTCAGCTATGTTATGCTAGTGAAGTCTGGTCTCCACCCACTGTCAAACTCAAGTCTAGAGTCGAAAGCGTCCAAAGAAGAGCCACCGCGTGGATACTACAATCCAAGCATGGCGAAATGACATACCAACAACGGCTAATGAATCTCAACCTGCTCCCCCTCTGCTATGAAAGAGAGATTTCTGATCTGGTATTCTTCTTCAAGGCTCTCTTTGGCAACACAGATTTGGACGTTAACACCTTTGTCTCCTTTTCCAACAACAATCGGACCCGACTCTGTCAAAATCCCTCCCTCACCCTTAAAGTCCCCCTCTGTAAATCCAACACATTCAAAGCATCCTATTTCAACCGACTAGTTAAAATATGGAACTATACCTGTAAAATTCTACCTCCTACCACCTTCGCCACCCTCTCCTCGTTTAAAAGAAACATTAGAAGCACATATGAACACTTGCTCGGAACAATGTTCGACATAGAAATGCCATGTACATGGTCATTAGTGCGTGACTGTCCATGTCATAGAACTAAGTAAATAACCCTATTCACATTAGAGGCGGACGGGTCGTCTGGGCGAACGGATCGTCTCTCAAGAATCGTCTTCACAGACGGACAAGTAGTCGAACAATTCGACATCTGATGATTTGTCCGACTAAAAGACGATTTTGAGACGATTTGTTCGTCTGGACGACTTGTCCGTCTTCTGATATGAAAACGGCTAATAACTGTGTTTGATGTTTGTGCTGTTTTGTATTGTATTTTGTTCTATTTTATTAATGTTTTGTATAGTTTTAGAATGGTAAGCACCTTGCATGGGACTTTATGTCCCGTTCGTGCTTGATATTGTCCATTTGAGTATTCTACTTATTTCTACATAGAACTGTTGTGTTTAAAACGTTGTAGAATTCTCAATAAAATTGTTAAAAAAAAAACAAACAAAAAAACAAACCCATTACGCATTATTAGCCCGGGGAAAAGCGTGGTTGTTGAGTGCAATTTGGGAAAAAAAGCACAGTACGCGAGTGGGGTTTTCAAACGTCTACGGAAATTAGCACTATACACACTCTTGCACAGCGTTCTTGAGCACTTATACGTTAATGAGTGCCTATAAGTGATAACTCAAACCTTATTTCCTTTGTGGTCGTTTGAGCACTCTGGCCTCATTGCACTTCGTGCATGTCTGGACGTATATTACATATGCGCTTGGTGGAAGCAAGTCGATCGTGCATAAATACGATGTTATTTACTTTGGCTGCGTAGTATACGTATAGATGAAGTACAGGTTTCCCCACGTTTCTGCGTTTTTTGTATTATTGTTATTTTTCCGTCGAGAAATTGATTTAACTCCCATAATGCTTTGCGTTACTGTATCATTTATGAAACGAAAATAAATCTCGTGCAGGCTAAAATCCCCTACAATTACAAAACTAGCCCCTTCTATGAGGAACAACATACGAAATAAGTGCAAATAAAGCCCCGTTTACACTACGCTCAATTTTTGGTACGGCATGGATAAAATTGGTACCCGTACCACTTTTTTGGTTCTTGGACTACCTATTTAGGTAGTCCAAGAACCAAAAAAGTGGTACGGTACCAAAAATTGAGCGTAGTGTAAACGGGGCTTAAGTCATGAATAAGTGAGGTTAAAAACAAGCCAGAAAAATATTTATAGGCTATATAATTTGTCAGTTGGTCGCAACTCCACTTTTATTTCAGAATTTTAAAACGTTGATTCCAAAACTTAATTATATTTTAAATATTCAATGATACAAAGTCTTCCTTGAGAATATAAAACATAAAGCCATATTCAACACAAGTATAAAAATTTTGAAGCTAGGTGATTTCGCCATGTTTGTTGACATATCCTGATTTCCCTTGCTTACCCACGATAAATATGCAGTTCAAAATTTCCGGTATAATTTACGCTTCCGCTTTCAAAAAATGCGCTGGATAAACGCTGGGGCTATGACAGGTATTTCTACAAATTATTTTGAGGACTACGTGATTTCTCCAAAATTTCGCACTCAGATGGGAGACGGCTACGACTTTTTCCCGTCAGTACGGGATAGCGTAACCATACAGCGTTCGCGCAAAAATGACGCATCTCGTACTCGTAGTCGCTGCAAAGCTGTCTAAATAGGGAGCTTTAGATTTGACTACGAGTACGACTACGAGTACGAGATTTAATCGCGTGCGAGGAAATTAACGTAGTCGTTTTCGTTTTCATTCAAATGTTGCTTTTATAGCAGTAAACCAACAACGAGAGAAAAAGTTTGACAAACTAAATCTCCTGCAGACTAAAATCCCCTACAAAACGTGAAAATAAGTCTTAACATTAAAAACAGGCCAGATATTTAGTACTAATATATTATTTGCGCGGATAAACGCTATATAAATGCTACAAATTATTTTTGGTAAACAAAAAAAAGCCAACTTTCTTTTTTTTTTTGAAAAGTCGTCGTAAGGACTACGAGAGTTCTCCACAATTTCGTACTCAGATGGGAGACGGCTACGACTTTTTCCCGTCAGTACGGGATAGCGTAACCATACAGCGTTCGCGCAAAAATGACGCATCTCGTACTCGTAGTCGCTGCAAAGCTGTCTAAATAGGGAGCTTTAGATTTGACTACGAGTACGACTACGAGTACGAGATTTAATCGCGTGCGAGGAAATTAACGTAGTCGTTTTCGTTTTCATTCAAATGTTGCTTTTATAGCAGTAAACCAACAACGAGAGAAAAAGTTTGACAAACTAAATCTCCTGCAGACTAAAATCCCCTACAAAACGTGAAAATAAGTCTTAACATTAAAAACAGGCCAGATATTTAGTACTAATATATTATTTGCGCGGATAAACGCTATATAAATGCTACAAATTATTTTTGGTAAACAAAAAAAAGCCAACTTTCTTTTTTTTTTTGAAAAGTCGTCGTAAGGACTACGAGAGTTCTCCACAATTTCGTACTCAGATGGGCGACGGCTACGACTTTTTCGCGTCAGTACGGGATGGCGTAAGCATACAGCATGCGTTTCACTTGACGAATCTCGTACTCGTAGTCGTACTCGTAGTCAAATCTAAAGCTCCGTATTTCTAAGCTCCGTATTTTTCGACCTTTGGAATATTGCGGTGATGGCGACCAGATGTGTGCGCACGCACCATTTTACGATAACCTGCAGGACAAAACCGAAGCTTAGGCCCCACATATTTAATGTAATGACCCAGTTTTTAATATAACGATCCAGTTCAGAAACAATCCATTCCATGCATGCATGCATGTCAAGTGCTGCTACGTAGTCTTATTACTCAGGCTGCAACATTTAAGCCAAAATGCCTTCGATACCTCGGTTCCATGATTTATATACTACAGTAAAAAGTTCGTATTTATGTACCTAATAGCTGGCTCATGCCATGCTTGTGATACATTTTTTGTTTATCAGCCCATACACTTGTACGCACGCGCACAATTCCGAACTCCAAGGATAGAGAGCTCCAGTGCTCCAGTGACATATTCAGTTCAGTTTCAAAATGGCGGCTTTTCACTGAGCGATCTAATATATATCTCACACAGTTTCGTTAAATTTTTAAAGAATTGTACCGGTTATGCCATTGATTGGCATTAAAAATCAAGGACATTACATTTTATTCGCTATTATTGACACATCATTACTTACGGTTGATAGTTGATGATCATAGTTAAGTGGGCCTGGCTTGTCAGGTTGAATTGCCCGTAGCCAGAGCGGCAGATGGTACGTCTGAGCCGGCGTCTTGGTATATTATGGTTGATAGTTGCTAATCATGATTGTATTTATTGGTTGTATTTATATGGTCCAGACCCCCTGTATACCTGTCTACTTCTCTACTACACATCACACCCTCCGCGAAAGTTGCCATTTACAGGCCAGTGTGAACGCCTGAGCAGGCGTCTTGTTCATATATATATAGGTCGAAGCATATGTCGCATGCTTCACTGCAATTCTTTGATTTGCTTTTTTGTCTATTCTTAAGCTTGTGCTTATCTCACTCGTGTAAACCAGGTTATTATAGCTTGCGATTTGTCTTGATGGAATGACTTGAATGATATTGTTGAATGAAGATTTTGTACCGAATGTTCAAGATTTAGGAGACTCCCTGTATAGTCCTAATATCCGTGAGTAATTTTGTGCGGTCATGACTAATTGCGTCATACCACGTTGTAAATGTATAATCATGGAGACATGGAACATATATATATATATATATATATATATATATATATATATATATATATATATATATATATATATATATATATATATATATATATATATATATATAATTAACGTTACAAATATCTTAAAATAACAATGTTTTTGCGCTACTCTGAGTTTCACGATCTTGTCTGATCGATCTTCAGGCGATTTATGTCCGTTTAATTAGTTTGTTTGATTTCGTGATTTTCGTTGACGCACGCGCTTGCGATGAAAACTTCCAGCTTGGAACCGATCTTTATGGCGACATTTTCCGAAGATTTCCGATCGTTTATTAAGTAACGTTTTCTGGTCTGCTTTCATAATGGATATAGTTTCTCCTCGTTACACAGATTACATCGCGTGCTACCGGACGCGTAGGGTGTTGAATGTTTCAGAATAGACCAATTGATGGCAAAAGCCTTCCCTTTAAATTTAAGTTCCCATATATACTTCGACAGTTCAGTTTCTTTCTCATACCGAATAAGATTAAAAGATTTCTTATGGTTGCGGTATCTTTCTTTAAATGAATTTGCTGTCATGCCTATATATTCCTTCTTCAAACCGTCATCCAGGGATGTTACAACTGCTTTGTATACGATACTCTCAGCTTGCAGGCATTTGTTATCCAGGGGACATTCATCCTGTTTTATACAGTTATCCCTCGATAATAAAGCATATACCGAAATGAATAAACACGCGTATATCATGCCTTTCATCCGACCAAAAGGCGTATGACCAGTCAAAACCTTTTTACGAAGAAGCCTTGAAGCAAAGCAACTTTAAGGAAACCTTACACTATAACCCCCCAGATCTAAACGCATCTGCAACACCGAAACGAAAGAGACATATAAACGTTGTATGGTTCAATCCCCCATACAGTAAATCAGTTAAGACAA